TAAAACACACACTTATATATTGAGTACACAGATCCTTGACATACGCTGATAGTCTCCCAATCACTACATCAATCAATCAGTCAACTGGTGGATGATTGTGTGGGCCTGTGTCCTGTAAGGGGGGGAGGGGAGTGATGATGGGGAGAGAGAGAGAGAGAGAGAGAGAGAGAGAGGGGGGTGGGGTGGGGGGGGACGTGGCTGACAATTCTACACAGTTGGCAGGTCGCTGAACTGTGTTAGGGAGACGGCAAGAGCAGGAGAGGGACAGACAGTGAGCTCTGAGAGGGAGGAACAGATCCCGAATCACCTCTCTCCCTATTCACCTTCTCAGAAACTGTCAGGAAACTGTCAAGTGGGAGATATGAGAAGAAACCGAGGTTGAAAACATTTGAAATTCACATCCTCTCTACCTCCTTATTTCTTTCCACTTGAGTCTTGAACGCACGCTACGCACCCCAGGGAAACGGCTCCTCTCTTTCCAGTGAGTACGCTCTTGATTTAGTCTCTCCTTTTCCTTTCACTGCCTGTTAACCACCCAGCTGGGAAATGTTCCACGCGGTAATGCGTTTTGTGCTGCTGTTTCACGTCCTGCTGTAAACAATTTGTGCAGGGATCCTATGGGAATTGTCATAATTAATATTGTAAATAAGCAAATAGTCATGAATAATATTATACCGATGAAGTGATTGCAAAAGTGATGAAATGATCTGAAGAACTTCAGTCTGTCTGTTGAAACGTTTGGTTCTGTGTGCGTGTGCCTAGCCTGCAGGTCTGTATGCCTTAGTGTTAGTCTTGTTTGTGTCTGCCTGTCTTTCAGTGTCCATCTGTCTTTGTAAACCCTGTTATGCTTTAAGAGGAAATTTGTTTTGATGTGTATGTACATGAGAGTGTCTTCCTGTTTTGAACTTTCCAGGTTGTTCCTGCGTGTCTGTTGGCACGTGTACGCCTGTCTCTGCTTCTGTTTCCGTCAGTCTGTCACCGTCATTCTCACCCTGTCCTGCCTGTACACTCCTCTGTTGAGCTGTCTTTGTCTGTTGTTGTGTCAGTGTGTCCTTCTGTCTTACGACCTGTCTGAGTGAGACCCCATTCATTGAAGTTCTTCAGCTGTCTCTCACTGTGTCTCAGGATGGTTGTGAATCTGTCAGTGTGTTCTGCCGCCTTCCTCATCTTTTTTTTTTTTTTTTTTTTAAAAGGGACACAAACCCCAACAAAGAGTGACATCCACCCCTTCAATCTCCTGAAGGAGGAAACCAGGATCCCACTCTTTCTCTCTGTGCAACATCTCCGTCCTCCTTCTCTCCATCACCATGACTTTGCTGGCCTCTGAGAGGTCGCTTCTCATACGAAACAAGTTCCGTTCAGGTAAGCCTGGGGCGTTGGCCGCAATACAATTATAGCATGCATTTATGTGGCGTGCAAGAGTGGCATCATACGTGCTTGTTGCATATGGTCAGATGGCGATGATGTCACAAGGAAAATGGTGGCCTCCATTGACTGACAGCATTGACATTGTAATTACGCAGATCAGGCATAATCAGGAGCAATGTGTTAAAGCAAACGTAACATAACAATATGTATGGATTTTCAACAAATACCATCAGAGCACCTGACAGTACATGTAGATAGAGAGGATGATACTGGAAAAAATGAAACTATGTGAAAATTCAGTGTTGATTCCTCTGCTTACCAAGCTCCACTATATTATGTAATGCCTGACTGAGGCCTTGCTGCAGTGAATTATCATTATGGCTCCCATATAAATAAACATAAACATAGCCATAAACATAAGCAAATCATTTTGGCTGCCACCTCAATTGTTATCTTTACTGGTAAACAATTTTAATAATCAGTCATGACTGAATCATTAAGAGGCCTCTTCAGTGTCGCTAACATGGCTACTGGGATGGTAACAAAAAATTTCAGCCTTGGTTGCGCAGATTCTTGAATATATTATAAATATTAAGTTGCGATGCAAGATTCTTTAATGTCTGACAAAGTACAGCATAGATAAACCCAGGAGCCTGTCATGTATTTACAAGACCAAACCTGTGATGGTTATTTAGTTGGACCCACTAAAGTCTCCCTCATAGATGTTTTACTAGCTTTCCACCCAAAAACTAATTCTCATTTTTAAAAGATAATATTTACTGTCTTCAGTAAAACTAGAATTTTCAGGGAATGCCACCGCATATCATATGTTAACATCACTTTTATCTCTGACTGATGCCTCTCTTTAATCTACCAGCAGTGGTAGCTTTTCATGTCTTAACATCTTTCATTCATGTCAGTTGAGTAAGAAATGAAAGGAAGTTGCTGAGAATTTGTCAGGAAATGAGAAAGCACATGAAGGTTATACTGAAAAGAGGCCAAAGTCGTTGTATATATTTGCCGTGACACAGCGCAGAAGTCTGTATGTTTGCTGAACTGCAGTGACTGTGTTTCCATGTATCTAATGGCCACGGTTCTCTGTTCTCTGTTTTGTTGATGCTGGGGGATACGCACACAGATTGGCTTTAAATATTACCGCTGGGTTGGAATTATCCTGTGACGTACCCCTTAATCACCCCAAACAACAAGCCTGGCATTACCATGATTACTTATTTAAATACCCTTTTCCCCAGGGACTTGCTGTGGTATTAGTCAATGCAAAATACAACTGTTGAGTGTAAAGGAAACAATAGCAAACACAAGCACTTCAAAAATTAGTATTCCAAAATCCTTTGGCTCTATAATCCTGTCACGTGCAGCATGTTATCAAAAGCTACACTGTTATATCAACACAGGACAAGCTATGATATTTCTGTATATTTTGAAAGTGCGTCTTTCATGTGTGTATGTGTATATGTGTGTGTGTTTTTGATCTATTGATGTAGTCTGGACCATGGTTCGGTCGGTGTCATCATAGAGAGATTGCTTAACGGAGATGCAATGTAATCAGCACAGTGCAGTATACCAGTATCAGAATGCTACGTAGGACTATTTCAGGGAATATTTAAAACAGTGCTGTGATGATCAATACAGTTTGTCTGCAGTTGTCTCTGTATCCTAAATTGTAACTACCCATGCCATCAGTAGACTGAGGTTTTGTCTGACCACTTTTACATTACCCTACAAATGATATGCCTAGATGGATCAGCTCTGTCTGGCTCATCTTCATATCCATTGGTACCACAGGCTTAGAATTGTCATGCATAACAGTGTTCAGTGTACAGCAGCTAACAGACACTACAGTACAGTGAAGTGAACAAAATTACTTCCAGTTCAACAATCCTCATATTGATCCAGCTCATCAAGTGCATCTTTTAAAAATTAATTTTGCCATACCTTGATCTAGGCAAAATGAAAATTACAATATGCCACGAAACTTGGCACAGTCCAGCCCAATGGAGCTCCCAGTGGCTTGACCAAATTCTCATACAACCTGATCAAGGATGGTCCATCCAACCCATTCCACCACAGCAAAGTGTGGCACTGGACACCACCCTCTACTGTCCAGCACAGACATGTAGTCTAGTCCTGTGTGGTGCTGAGTCTCAGTCTAGTATGTAAAGAAAATGCAATATACTCCCTGTCTGGCCATTCAATTAGGAAGTGGACACTATTTTCAAGAGAGAGATCAAGAGATAGAAAGAAAGAGAGGAAGAATTTACTTAGCACACATGACAGTGAGGGAGAGAGAGTGATAGAGAGAGAGGGACAGCTGGAAGGGGGGATGGGGGGGACAGAAATAGACATACTGATGGATAAATAGTTACCTCCCCTCCTCCCTCCCTCTGTTTCTCTCAGATCTCAAAACTCAGCACTGAGGTGCATGATGGGAAATGTCACCCAACTACCAACTACTCCACCCCCCCGCGCCACCTCCCCCGCCCTGTCATAATTCACCTGTTACTTTGGCTCTGTGTGTATGTGTGCGTTTATGTTCTCCTCTCGGTGTCTGACTTGCCTGTAGTTTACAGGACTGTAATGTAACGTAATGCTGCTTTACTGTAACATACACTACTGCGCAGAACATAAAATTAGGACTGAACTTCTACATGCAGAGATTTCAGATTGTCTTTCAAAAACCCAGCACTCAACAGATTACCTTTAATTGTCTTTCAGTCTTGCAGCTGAGAATACAGAACCGCAGGCAACAGAATGAAATCACTGCAGAGTCTGGTAGGTTAGTGTGTGTGTGTGTGTGTGTGTGTGAGTATGTGGGGGGCAACAGGTGATTACCAGACATTCCTTTTGGAAAATAAATACTTTAGTGGTGTTTCTTATTACATGAGTTTGAAATAGGCCAGCGCTAAAGTCGACTGTAATTTTTCTGAACTGTCTGTTCTCTCTCATTTTACATGAACAGATAAATCCATTTTAAAAGGTTCTGTCCAACCTCTGTTACTTTTACTCTCCATTCTTAAGGTGTGAAAACCACCTGTCACTCTCAAAAAGGAGAAAAGGGAAGGAATGATGCGGTGGTGAGTAATATGTTCAACTTTCATTTCTTTTCTGTCATGCTAAAGGCAATAACAATGATACACGGCAAGATCACTTTCTCAGCAACCGCAACAACAGCTATAAACATTAATTATATTCTTGAAATGCATTTGAGTTTTAATCATCACAGTATACATAAAATATTTATGATGATGAGGAAAATGCATATTTGGCAGCATCTCACTCCTTGCTTTTCATTTCAGTGTCTGGCAGAGGAGAGCACTACCCAGAAGTCGCCCCCTGGTGGCTCAAGTACCGAAACGCCACATAACACTACACAAGGTGTGAACATCAACATCCACAAGTTTGTGTTCCACTGCTTTAATGATAATTCCCTCTCCTTTACTGGACCCGCACTGTTCTCTGACATGCCTCTATTTCTCCTCTCGCCCCATTGTAACACATTACATTATTGTCATTTAGCAGATGCTCTTATCCACAGCAACTTACATAGGTTAACATGTTATTCATTTATACAGCTGGATATTTACTGGGGCAGTTCTGGGTTAGGTGCAGCACTGCCCCAGCAGGGAATCAAACCAGCAACCTTTTGGTTACAAGCCCCGCTCCTTACCACTGGGCCACGATGCCGCCCCTATTGTTCCTTTCTTTACGATCACTCTTTAGAACACTCTCACACCCATTTCCTGTGTCAAATCTATGATCAACAGTGATTTACTGCAAAGCACTGACTAGACTGCTGCCCTTCCAATATTGCCTTTTCACATCTTGTCATCTCATCTGGAGAGGTTTGCAGCAAAGCCCCATCTGAAATCTTATCCAGAGCTCCCTGATCACAGGCACACTGCATGCCCTGTGAAAAATCAAGGAAACCATTACATTACACTACATTGGCATTTAGCAGATGCTTTTATCGAGAGCGACTTACATTGGTTACAATTTTTTTACAATGTTATCCAATTATACAGCTGGATATTTACTGAGGCAATTGTAGGTTAAATACCTTGCCCAAGGATTCAGCGGCAGTGCCCCAGCGGGGAATCAGACTGGCAACCTTTCAATTATGAGCCCTGCTCCTTACCACTGTCACCCTATGCTACACCCCAAAGAAAGGAAAAGAAAGGGTCTCAGTACTGCGCTGTGTAGCGGACGGAGTAATGGAGAGGAACGCGTGAACCGACCCCCCCCCTCTCTGTGTTCCAGACTGGAGTGGAGGGGGGGCTCTGCGGCAGAAGAAGGCCCGGCTGGCGGAGGACCTCAGCGAGAAGATCCAGCGCCGGCCAGGCCCTCTGGAGCTGCTGCAGAAACACATCCTGCCCCTGGAGACTGGTGCGTGCTGCCGGCTGACCCACCCACCCACTGCTGGCTGAAATGTTATTAATGTCTGCAGCAGGAAAGCATTCAAGAGGGCGACACAGTGTGCCGGCGCATGCACACACACATTCACACAGACATACACACACATGTGCATGTACGCATGCACACACACACACACGCACACACACACACACATTCACACAGACATACACACACATGTGCATGTACGCATGCACACACACACACACACACACACACACATTCACACAGACATACACACACATGTGCATGTACGCATGCACACACACACACGCACACACACACACACACATTCACACAGACATATACACACACATACAATTTCAATGGGCTTACTAATATACACATGTAGAGCACATTCTGCACAGATGTAAGACAATAATGATGACACAGTAAACATAGTGTAGTTCATATAATACGTACAATACTTCACATAACACACAGTTTGCAGCATATATAGATACATATTAAAAAATGTTACTTGCAATACAGGAAATAGATGCAGAGTTCAAGTTTACAGTTATCCAAGTTCAATTGTAAAAATAACTCTGTTGATTGAAGTGTGAAGCTGCGAAAATGTCACCTCCAGGACTTTAATCGCACAAAAGAAGAGTAACATGCACCACAAAAAAGTGTCATTTCATGTCTTTAATGAATGTCTCATGTCTCTTTGGACCACCAGCTCCGATTTCGTCGTTCCCTCAGTCGTCGGACGTCTTTGACGATGACATCTCTTGCTCTTCCTCTTCCTCATCTCCCGAGCAACTCGGGATACACCAATCACCGGGATTCTCTATGTCACCAGGGCTGACAGGGGACCAATCGTTAAGCGATTTGTCGCCTGGCTCGGCCCCTCTCAATCACAGCCCCAACAGCTTTCAGGTGAGAGAAAAAAACTTGAAACTGACAAAAGGTGATAGGAAAACTGCAATGTGTTAATGGCATTCCAGGTGATTGTAGATCATAATAGACTACAGAGGAATAAATCGTTAACACTATTCCATCTGTACTTTTTAAAAATTAATGGTAATGTTGTGGTGCAACCTGTAACTGGAATACAGCTACAGGTCGACTATACAGTAATCACACAATGAAACAATAAGAATATAGATAAGGAATGATTTCATTGATCAATACACCAGTAGTGTCCATGTGAGTATTTCATATATGTACCATTTTTGCTCCCACAGTGTAGCTTGGCATTGCTCCCGGCAACCGAGGGCATCAGCCAGCCAATGACAATGACTGTGGCTGAATTGGACTCCACGGCAACGCCCGGGAGAGCCAAGGGCATCTTTCTTACCACTCAGACTACCCCCCTGCTGCCAAAGGTCTACATTTATCCACCCCTTTACATATTGCTCGTTTATTGTTGTATTAGGTTTATTACGTTTAATTCAGCTACAAATGCGTCAAATTTTCTCTCGCTTTCAGAATGAACAGCTAATTTAACACCCCATGAATCTCCTCCTGTGTCTCTCTCAGACAGCTCAGCAACCCACAACTCCTCCTCCTCAGTCCACCCTGACTCCTTCTGTCCCTTCCTCTCGGCCTCCCCGCTCCCGAAAGCCTCGCGACTCCAAGCCGAAAATGAAGAAGCTCAAATACCACCAGTATATTCCCCCAGACCAGAGGGGTGGGACAGGAAGTGGGACAGGGGGCGGGTCCATTCAGAGGAACTCTGCCCCGCCCATTGACCCTGCCTATTCCCGCCTCCTGCAGCAGCAACAGGTGTTTCTCCAGCTGCAGATTCTCAACCAGCAACAGCAACAGCAGCAGCAGCAGCAGCAGCAGCAGCAACAACAACAGCTTACCATAGCGCCCAGGTAGGGATACTCTTCCAGTGCTTAGGGAGTAACGTAAAACGGATCTAAATACTGTGAAGTCTAGCTGCCATGTGGATGGCATTTGCAGGCTTGTTTAACTTTCATTAGCACTTATACGACAAACATACCATGAAACACCTATTTATGTCTCTTCACAGCATATTGCTGATAAACACATGCCTTGTCTCCCCTCTTTCATCTTCAGTAGTGATCACCAGATAGTGAGGTTTACTGGAACCACTCCGCCAGCTTGCCCTCAGCCTGCCCCCATAGGAACAAAGCCCAGCCCTCCGGATACAAGCCCCACCCACAAGCCTGAACTTCTTCCCCCTAACCTTGATGACCTCACGGTATGATGAATTTTAATTTATTTCCACTAGTAACTTGTGTAATGTATATCAAATGTGAGATTATCATATATATGTACAATATATATATATATATATAGTGTCCTCTTTCTTCATCCTTCCCCTGTCCTTTATCTTTCTCTCTCATCATCTTTCTAGTCTTCTCTCCTTTTTCCCTCACATCTTCTCCCCACTCTTTCCTATCGTTGTGTTGTTCTTCCTCTGACTGTATGACTCTTACCCCCTAATCCAGGTGTCAGAGCTCCGTCAGCAGCTCCGCAAGCGTGGCCTCCCAGTTTCTGGTACCAAGCCCTCCCTCCTTGAGCGCCTCAGGCCCTACCAGCTCCCCCGGCCCTGCCTCGCCCCTGCCCCCCTCTGCCAACCGGGGACCAATCTGGGGCCCTCTGCCCCCGCACTGCCGCTGAACCCAAACCCCAACCCCCCCAGCAACCCGCCCAACCTCTATCTCCAGCCCAGCAACGTGCCGCCAGGTGTCAACGGAGGCGAGCAGTCCTTGGCCAGTATCGGCTTCCTCGCCGCCACCCCCGCCACGGCCACTGGTCTTCCTCTCCCTTCCTCTTCCCCGCCGTCCTCTGGCACCCCCTGGAGGCAAGGCCAGGCAGCGGAGGAGATGAGTGTGGAGATGGAGATGAGGGAAAGACTGAGGAGTCGGCCCAGGGAAAGGCCACGGGAAGTGGGCAAAGAGGTGAGAGGAGGCAGCAGGAGCACATTTGACTATTTTCAGATGTGTAACTGTAGATCATTCATATGTTTGCTGTGTATATGTTGTAGTCTTTTTTTTTAAGTATTGTTCCACCTTTCCCCTCCTATTTCCCTCTGTCAGACCTGTGAAAATACCCTCCATCCCTTCCTGCAACAGGAAACAGGACGTCCAAAAGTAAACGCAGAGGCTGACAGACAAGCAGAGGTGTTATTTACACAGGTAATGACTAAATATTGAATTTTGAATAATACTGGTGTCAATCAGTCTCAGTTAAAACAGATGCATTCTTAGTAAATGTCCTTAGCAGGAAGCAGACAAATTGAGATATGAGCAATACACACAGTACAACAAATTATGGAAATGTACATAATGCAAATTCATATTGCAACAAATACAAAGGTATTTCAAAAATTTGAAAAATTATCTGTCATCCTAATAGTCTAAACTAATAGTCTAAATTACAAGTTTGATACAATAAAGTGTCAAGTCAATTTGTCTTTGCTGGCAGTTTCTTTTCTCCTGCTCTTAAACAGGATGTTGTTTAATTAAATTTGAACTTAGAGATAATAGTTTGTCATTTGGAATTTGAGAGACCTTAAAGATGAAAAAACAACGTGGTGTAAAAAAAAAGGCTGTAAAAAAGATTATATAAAGTATGACCACCTTAGAATGAGTATGAAAAGATTATCTTCAAACAGAGGAATATAATCCAACATATTTAGTAATCGAAGTCAAAATGTTTTGCTTGTTTAGGATCAAAGGTCCTTTGTCTCTTGGTTGATAACCCTGTCTAAGGCAGTCATGTTGTTTTTCAAAAAAATCTAGATCAGACAGGTTGGCAGTTATATCACTGAGAAATCAGCAAGCTCTTTTATACAAATCACTCTGAATGTGTTTTTTTACATCTTAGGTTTTGATTACAATCTATAAGGAAATTGCATGCTGTATAAAACATCAATCCGTCACAGTGTTTACAGAGTTTGTACCTTGCACCAACAATTTGCAAACCAAGCAACTCATGTATGGTCCTCCATACCAGACTCTAACAATTACAACAAACTGACTGGCTATGAGCAATCAAAGGTGAAACAAAAACAGTTCTTCTCAGTTCCGTAGTGAACGAAGCATTTTGAAATTATTTGCTGTTCATTTGAAATGAAAAATTCTATTTTTGTTTTATTGTTCACATTTCAATTTTTAATTTGGAATATTCAAAATCACACAGGTAGACATTACATTCACCATATCTCTGACCAAAACTGTTGCTTTCAGCAATAAAGCCTTGCAGTCAGAAATGAATTCTTCTTTTGACGTGTAACTGAAACTTGAAGTGATGGAAAACAGCTCCACCTTTTACATACCTAATTCATGTTTAAT